ACTACAGCTGGTAATGGGCATTTACTATTAAGAGTCTACGACATGTGTATATGTATTTGCACATGTTTATGTATGTGTGTGTACGTCTACCACGCTGTTTGTGTATGGATGTGTATGTGACGGTGAGTGCATGTGTGGTAAATGTATGAGCAAGTGCTAAAAACTGCCAGGAACAGTTTGTCTTCATTGCCCAAATTGCTGAGTTGCTTTGGTCGGTCTTCGGTTATCCCGACTCTCCAGTGTGTGCGTATATATGTATTTATGTCCATGTGTGTTTATATGCATGTATGTATGCGTTTGTTGTATATATGTATGCATGTATTTATATATGTATGTGTATATGTATGTATGCATGTATGTATTTACGTATTTATGTATGTATGGATGTATGTTTGTCTGTTTGTATGTATGCATGTGTATTTCTGTGTGTATGTTTGCGTATCTGTGTGTGTATGTCAGCTTATTGTATAAATTACTAAGCATTATAGCTGTTAATGAACATTTTTTACTGGAGGAAATCAACGATGTTCGATAAAAATTTTTGCATAAATAGCAAGAAAATACAATGCACAGCATATTTTTTTTGAACAAAATCCGCGCAGGTAGTTTTTTGTATAAAAAAAAATACCCTTATTTGATAACCAGAAAGACCGAATGTTGCAGTGCAACAGAACTCAACATATCTGAAAATTCATAAGATTTCATAAACTTAATGAAGCAAAAACTTAGGGGAAATGTATCTGATATACGTCATCAACAGAGTATGAAAAAGCCCCGATTGTCTTCAGGATTTCTATGCAACGGCGAATGTATTTAAAACACTTCGGACTACCAACACAATATGCCATTCAAAATTCTTTTACCACAATCGTAGTACTGACGAAGTCCAACTGTGGTAAAGGTAAGAAATGTATACGACTTAACGGACCGAAACATTTCTTACCTACTTAAATAATTCTTTAGAACCCCTTCGTCGTTTTTTGCTCATATTTCCTCTCTAACCCTAAATACCAAAGGCCTCAATAACCCCCGAGTTTTTTTAGGTGAAAATGAAAACGGGATGGTCCCAAACTATTAAAATACAGTGTGACCGACCTCACTGAAACAGGCTGCGCCACACTTTGTCTACGAAATACCAATTTAAATTTAGATATTTTATCGTTATGGAAAAGGTCGTAACAAAAACACGACGAGGCTGAGCCAGGCTGCGCCGTATTTCGATAGTTTGTCGCCCGGCCCATTTTCAAACCGACTGGATACATGGCGGTTTGGCCAAACTTACACTCGCCACTAACAGGAGTTCAAAAACAGGAAGGAACTCAAAACAATCTGATTAGAACGAACCGAATTGTCAACATAGGATCAAAAAAACCTCGATCGCGTTCAAAATTTCTATGTTAAACTCAGAGGTAGGCAAAATTCCAAAATAATTTACCTAAAGCGTTTTAGACCATCAAACAGCAAGAAAAAAGCCCTAACTGCCTCCAGGATTTCTATGGATGGAGGCAAAACTTAGGATAATGCTCCTAAAATACACTGAATAATATCAACAGATTATGAAAAAGTCCCAAATGTCCTGAGGGAACTCCTAAAACCCGAAGTGAGGTAAAAAACACACACACACACACACGAAATAATGTGTTTAGAATGTTTCAAAGCTGGCACGAAAGAAAAAAAAGGCGAAGACCCGACATTTTGGGACCTGTTGAAAATTCTTTGTGACAGATTCTTTAAGAAATGCTACCCGCTTTTCGAGTACAAATAAACTTCACAATCTAATAAAACACCGTAAAAAGCTTAAAAAATATACAAAATTCAGCATAGGCCCGAGCGACAACAGAATATAATGTATTTGTAATAACAGTGGTCACCTAAGAGCAATACAAAACAAAAAAAAAAATGACTCTCCAGGAATCTGATATCCGACGTTAGAAATAGAAGAATAGAAGGATTTCACTTGAATGTCATGTTTATGAAAAATCAATCCTTTCCGTATTCACCCCCTCTGTGAAAAGTGAGGGAATTCGGGAATAGCTCCAGGGGTAGCATATATGCAAATAGCAACCATCCATCAACAAGGCTGCCGATGGCTTCCTTTTTCGAGAATTGCTTAGAAGCAAGCTGATGACGGATTGACTTTCTAGCATTTGCCAGTATCAATGACCGAAATCTAGAGAGACTGAGCTTTTTTTTTATGGAATTCACATTAATACCCAAATTTTCAAGTCCAAAAAACAGTCATACAACAGTCGTAGAATCCCTCCTCTGTATTCATTCTGTGTATGAATGATGCAAACATTCAAAAACTATTCCAAAAATAGCAAATTCCTACAGCAAAATACCAGCTCGTTAGGTTGTCGATGGCTCCCCCTTTCGAGGATTGCTTAAAAAAATAAGATAGTTACAATTTTGATGCAGGGCATATGTCAGTACCAATTTACCATCGAAACGAATGAATGAATGAATGAATCGTAGAGGAATTTTATGATTTCCTGCGCAAAAGTGCTATTCCCCGTTATGCCATACCCGCCAGTACACGTGGATTGTTCACGTAGCAATCATGGCATAACAAAATAATCTAGAAATACAATCTATTTGTACTGAAATGCTTTAACGGAATGTGTTGCTGAATCAACCACAAAACACATCCCGTTCCATTTTGATGTGGTTGCTATACAAACACCGCACGGACGCTTCAGCCGTGATCCATGGCTATCCAATGAAAATAAGAAATTACCCTGAAAAACGACAAAATAATCACAAATATTAGTATTTACCTGAAAGCAGAAATTCGAACCAACCCTCATTTAGTCAAAATTTATCCAAAATCGTCAAATTCGCAAGTTTTTTTATTTAAATAGAACTTCAAATTAAAAAGAAACCCAGGTTGAAACGCACAAGGATTGTCTGTGCGAAAGTGCGTTTTTAACCAGCCGAGGCCACCTTCCCGCCAAAAAATTTGCATATTTTTTTATGACTTCCGTATGTGACACTCAGGCGTAGACGGAGGATGATATTAGAACGGGAGGGTGGCGGATACTGTGGGCGCATAATCCCAAAGTTTTAGCCTTCTAGCTTCCCTGGTTCTCGAACTGAAAGCGGGTGACAAAAAGTGCGAACACACAGACACACACCAATGCGCGTTTTTGAAATTTGCATGTATGCAAAGACGCAAAAAGCGAATTTTTTTGCCCCTTTTAGAATCAATAATAAAATTTCAGTATTAAAGTATTAAAATATTTAATGTTAGAATTTCAATATCAAAATATTTAATGTTAAAATTTCAGTATTAAAATCCACTAAAACAAAACATTTTGGCATAAATTATATAAAATATTAAAGTAATAAAATATATTTCAGAACTAATAATCTATCAAAAAATTAAATAATTTTGTTCTTTTGATTCCAACTGATGATGGTCCTTTGTTATGATTAATAACTGCATAATTAAAAAATTTGATATTATATAAGATTATCAATGTGTTTTAACAGATATTTCAATGTAACGAGTTCCAGTAGCCCGTGGCAAAAGCGGAAGATCTTTTGTGGTGGCCAACTTTTAACGAGGGAAAAAAATCAAATATTTTTCTTCTCTGACGGCGGCGGGGGAGAGGGGGCAAGGGACGGAGGGGAGGGGGAGTAGGGGAAAGAGACAGCCTAAGAGAAGAACTAATTATTAACCTTATATTGGCTAACAGTGAGGTAGGAGCGGTTTTTTCGGGGATCCACAACAGCTGAAACAATATTTCCGGTTTGCGGGCATATAGCGCAAGCCAGTGTCATCAATCGATTATTTTGTCCTGGTGGCGACAACGAGATTTTACGCAAATAACGCCCTGAAATGTAAGAATATGATGAAAAAAAAAAGTGCAAATTCCAAGGGTTACCACGAAAATAGTAAAGACGTTTAGCTTGGCTTTACTTTGAAATCACAGACGGTCCCTAGGAAAGACCATGCCCCACCAACCACAGAATCAAGAAAGAGCTCTCGATCTGTCAGGTGTCCGGCCCAGGTGAATTTTTCCGCGTTGAATCAAATTAAGCCGCAGGCTTTTTCTTTAATTTCTTTCTTCTTTTTTTTTAGTTTTTTCTTTAAGTTCAATTTGGCTTTGCAATTTCTTTGTAATTTGCAATTTCTTAATTTCTTTAAGTTTCAGCTTTGCAACCATACTTCCCCCGGAATCGAAAGACACTCTTTTCCAAAAAAGTGCCCGAAAAGGCGTATTTACCGCCAACGGAACGCTAGTTGGTATCGTTTACGGTCAGAACTGGGGCGTTATCTGATTAAGGGGGTTAGGCCTTTATTTTTGAAAAAAAGCGAAATAAAAGCAAAAAACGGACCTCCACCATCGTAGAGCATCAATGCAGTGCATGTACCAACAAGAATATCATCGTTAAGACCAACGCAAACACATGTAATGGGTGAAGGGCCGGTAGGCGTTGTAACACCGAAGCTAAACAACGGACGAAATAGGTTATCGAAAACGAATATCTGTAAGAGATTTCAAAAATCATGGCACTGCAAGATGAAGAATATCAAAAAAAAAAAAAAAAAACAAAGTCAGAACCTCCTCAGAATTCTCCCTTTATAAGAAGCAAAGGCAATCGGAAGTAGCTCGAGTGGTAGCAAATGCCAACAGCAATCATCCGCTAGCAAAAACTGTCGATAGCTCCCTCTTTCAAAATTCTTGGTCAGCCAACTCCCGTCGAGCTAGGTTCGTTTTTCAGGATGGAAAACATAATAAATTTTGTTCCCAAGGAATCCAGTTTATTACCAACATCTTCAGAAATTTTTCTGGCCTTTCAGCGGATTGGACAACCGAAAAAGTGCATTTCGAAGAAAGTAATAAGATAAAAAAGATAATAAAAACAAGGTAAAGATAAAGAAGGGAAAGGCTATACCACGGACATTTCAGCTCCGACTTCAGGATGCCCTACAGGGCTGCATTCCCCCAATGACCGATGACCAATTAGTTGCAAATTCATGGCCACTTTTACGTAACCAAAGTCAAAACAGATTGCTTAGTTACCACGTAGGAGCACGTGGAATTTTAGACAAGGAAGCTGCTAACTCGGGGACCAGAAAAGCTGGAAAGCTATCTTAAGAGCACTGTAGAAGGACAGCAGAACTACCTTTTCGCATGCTGTGTCAGCAATCAAATACCTTCCACGACTGTCCACACAAACATCAATAGGTTCCATGAATTCCGTGAAACTCATCGTCTATAATAATTTAAATTATTGACTGAAATTTGTTTCGAAAAACTTGCGGAAATCATCTAGCACCGTGATATAAAAGGATGAATTTAAAAAAAAATTAAGAAAATATACAGCCCCTAAAAGCACTTTTCCGAAATATTACCGAAGTGCAGGTCCTAAAATTGATCAGGCGACTATATTACATGTATGTCAGACATACGCACACACACACGCACACACAAACACACAAATACAAATATGCGTAGATACATACACACAAACAAACAGATGCATGCACACATCCATAAACGAACAAGTACATACAAGCATACACACAAAGATGTGCACATACATATACAAATATACATAACCATTCATTCATACACATACG